TATACATGGGCCCAAGCTATGTGCTAGTTGTCGTCTCTTATGGCATGTTTGAAAACAAGGAATTAACTTTAGAATATATGTTTTGCCAAAAAAAACTTAAGAATATATGTCCACAATTATTAGAATACGGAGTACTTTTTTTACTCGTTAGTCGTTACCTCGGTAATCGCGCAATTAAGACTCTAGACACAAATACTCATCGCGATTATGATGACAACATGGTGATTGACTGATTGGCTAATGGTTTTTTATCGCACAAATTCACCTTCGGAAAGGACATTTTAAGAAGACTTAAATCTTCCGTACGTCTCTTAAAACCTTGCGATCTTTCTTTTTTAGGACGTTCCAAAAACCTTTGTTACTTTCCCTTTTAATCAATTATTTTGTGATTTCTGTTATTTCTCTCTCCTCTGCACAAACCTCAATCACACAGTTTTTACTTTATTATTCTCCGTGCCGGTCAACTTTGGTAAAGTTTTAAGAGACGGAGGTAGTACGTTTTAAATCCTTGCAAATGTGGCATAATTTGTTTTTAGTCCTTGTAAAATATTCTTTTTGTTTTCCATTCATGTAATATGCACTTTTTATTTTTAGTCCATCTCTAATTTTGGAACCACTTACAAAAAAAGTTATTGTCAATTACATAAATCCACTAGAAATATTTAATTTTGTTCTTTCATAATTTTTTTAAGGCTAATATGAGAGTTAAAACAATGTAAAACTAAGCATTCACATTTTTGAAATATATGGTAAAAAGCTTCTAAAAATTAAAATTAAATACTTTTTGAATGACATAATAAAAGCAAAACCAACATAAATCGGGGGATGAAAAACAAAAAAAAAAATAATTTTGCAGGGATTAAAACAAAATGCACTATATTTGCAGAGACTAAGAACATGAATGGAACCAAATCTAGTGGTGCATTTTATTATCTTAGCTATTGATCGAATTAAGTAAATTAATAGTTAAGTACAACTAATCTTATTTGAAGATATTGAATTTCAAATTAATGTTCCAAAAGGTTGGATCCTTCATCCCTAAGAGCTCCCTCACTCCAACCCGACAAGGCATTTGGAAGGATTTAAGTCACAGTTACTCAACAGTTCAATTGTGATGGACCTTATGCTGATGCGCACCAAATGTACAGTCAAGTACACAATAGCTGTAACATTTACACGATCGTCGTGGGTTTCGATCATTGATCAATGTTTCAACTTTCCAACCACTAAATCAACTGAGCTACCGTGAAGGTTTGAATTGAATTTCAAATTAAAATCACCAGACATGGCAACTTCTATTTTAAAAAGTTTTGTAACTAATTCATCCACATACTGCGTCGACTCTATGTGAATAAGGTATTGCCAAACTATTTAAGATTAGTTGGATTGTGATCTGAACACTTGATTATAAAAAAAAGAAAACAATCGATCGTACTTATCCACTTAATTTAGATGAAAATCATAAACATGACACTCTAGTCGATCATTCGTCAAACTCATGTTGCCAAGTTGGATTATTTGGATCGATTTCACTCAATAATTAAAGGAGGTTAGGGTCAGATTGGTCCTCAAAATTGCATTAAAAAGTCAAATAATTAAGTCTTTATTGTTCGGCCCGTCGCCATTCGGGGTGGTTCCCGGTGGAATTTTTTGATTAAATTTTTTGAACATCATATTCATTAAGTCTAGTTTACTCATACCAAATTGCAGCTACAAATTCAATCAGGAAGACATTCAAATGAATTCTTGAAGGTAACTGCGCTTTTAACCGCGCAGTTATCTTCAAAACTTCATTTGAATGTCTTCCGGATTGAAATTTTATCTGAAATTTGGTATGAGTAAACTAAACTTAATGAATAAGATGCTCAAAAAATTCATCAAAAAATGCCACCGAGAACCTCCCCGAATGGCGACAGCCAGACAGAATCTCCTATATAAGGACTTATTTGACCCTTTTATGCAACTTCGAGGATCAATCTGACTTTTACCTCATAATTAAAGTACAAAACGCATAAGTACATATTCTTAATATGTCCTTAGTACATTGCACCTGAATATGGTTTATCGAATATATTGATTCGAGCTTAGTATTAGCAGATGGGTTATGTACAAAAATGTCATAATTGCACGGTGGAGGTAACTAATGCTGTTTTACTTTTACTCGATGGTTTAGATAAATATAGAATTTCTTTTTGGTCACCATCCACTCCAATACTGTTTATTCCAGTGCTTAATAGTTGTACAAAGTATAAACAGCATTTAGTCAAACTTCTTCCAATTAACGGTGGGTCCTTAACCCCGGCTCCACACACAGCCCCCTGTTAAGAATATTCTAATTCAGCTTTTATATTTTATTTAAAAAAAATGTGGAATCTCTCATCCCAGGAGCTCCCACCCCGACTCGACAGGATGGTGGAGAGGTTAATCACGGTGACTCAGTCAGCAAAATAACGGTACGCCTTGTACGCTTTATTTCAGTTTCTGTAACCAATTATATTTTATATATTGATGTTGTTCAGTATATTTAAAATGGGATCAAATTAAAGCATGTGTGTATTGCTATTCCATATAAGATCGTCTTAAAAATTTAGTACACATTGTACTAATGATCGTGTCAAAAGTATATTGTACAACTGTACTAAAAAATATTAGATCTGATTAAATAAAATTTATGCAAATTTTGAATTTGATTTTTTTCAAATATTATATTATCATACACTTCTTTCGTTCTCTTTTTGTCTAACATTCTCGTTTTCACACTTTCCAACGGTCAACTGTTATTATATTTAATTCTCGATTAATAAAAATAAAATATAGTAAAAGTAGAATGTTTGAATAACGTAAATATCTCCATGTTGCAACTAAAAAGACAATGATAGTACGTAGTACAGCCGTAATTATCGATCCAAAACTCTAAAAGCAAACTAAAATATACTTCCTCCATAACATTCATATCTTCTCACTTTCGTTGTAACATTCATATCTTATCATTTCTAAATATTCCTATCATACCCTCAATAATTTTAAAAATAATACTACACTATTCCAACTACTTTTTTGGGTTTATCCTTCATTCCAACACACTATTTCATTATCTTCCCATCATAGCCTCAATAATTTATATCTCCTTTCACTATTCTTAATCTCAACTACTTTTAAATGGGAAGTTATACTCCCTCCGGTTCTCAAAGAGCTTCATAGTTTGACTTCACACATATTAAGAAAATAAATTTCATTTTACTGTGGAGTGCACTGTTTGGACATTGTTTGGCACTGTTTGACACTGTTTTGATGTAGATAATTTGCCAAATAAGGAAATAAAAGAAGTGTGAAGTTAATTTCTAGATTTCTCAAAAACAAAAGTGGGAAGTTGTTTGAGAATAGGAGGGATTAGGAAGTTGGTACTTGCAGCTTCTATCATCGTCGGCAATCATCAGTTGACGAATTGTGGGTAGATAGAAAAATCGTACTACGGTACTACACGTACATAAATTATAGAAATCGGAAGATGGAAAATAGAAAAACAGGAAAGAAAAATGAAATATTATACTTCCTCTATCCCGGAATTATCTTCATGCTTTCCTTTTTCGTCCGTCCCAAATTTATCTTTTTTTTCCCTTTTTGGCAAAGAATTTGTGGTTCACAATCATTCTTACACGTTTCTCTCTCCTCTGCATAACTCTCCACCACATAATTCCCACTATCTTAATATGTGTGCCCGGTCAAAACTGAAGTTTTTATTGGGACGGAGGGAGTATATAATGAAAGTCACCAAAAATGAAATGAAATAAATAATATATTCCGTAAAATTTTATTATCTCCGTCCCACTCAACTTTGTCAAGTTGATGTTAGGTAGGAAATTAGAATAGTAAAATTTGTGTGGTTGAGGTTTGTGCAGAGCAGAGAGAAATTAACAGAGTCACAAAAATATTGCTTTAAAAATAAAGTGACAAAATTTTTTGGGACAAACAAAAAGGGAAAGTTGGCAAAATCTAGTGGGACGGAGGAGTATTATAGATCACGATCGTGTGTAATTTATGATCAAAACATAGGTAGTATATAGAAACATGTAAAATTTAAGTAACTACTCCGTATAATAGTAGATTAGTATATTTACTCTTTAGTGATCATGATCGTGTGTAATTATATTCTATCCAGTTATATTGATTGTGTAGGTATGTATACTCATTTTAGTGATTTTTTTGCCACACGTACTATTTAAACATAACTTCTTATTATAGCTGTTTGTACTTCCTTTGTCCCATTTAAAGGTTGTCGTCCATTATTTTCTGGTCAACGTGCATTGTTCTTAATCTTTTGCTTTATATATAAAAAGTTTATGAAATTTAAATTATTTTTTGCAGATTTTGTAACGGTTTTGATGTAGTTTCTGAATATATAAATTTTATTTACTAAAAATAATTCTATTAATGACAAGGAGCAATTAACTTTATGATCGATCAAACATCGTAAATCGCGTGAGAACCTTGAAGTGGGACGGACGGAGTATATTTTTGAAAAAGTTAATCTAGCATAGATACTATATTATTCGTATTATAGTTTTTCAGTTACAGAACCAAAGGAGTAATATATGTGACTATACTTTCGAAGTTTTAAATCTTTTAAACAAAGAAGTAGCCATATCAAGTCTTTTTGCATGTGCTATTAGGCCACACTTAATACGGAGTATTTTCCTACGGCACTCGAGTGCCGAACACGTGTTTTTAATTTGTTAGTCCAAACGGATCACCTAACTTTAATTATTATTAGTTTATTATTATTATTATATTAAATTAATTAATGGTCTGTAAAAGAATTTTTTGTCGTTGATTTGTCATGCATGATCATTAATACGTAGTAATTTATTAATTTAGTTTAAGATGTCACTTTCAAACGAATGTACCTTAATTAGCTTACTGTTGATGTAGTGCAATACAACTTAGTTACCACTTGCAGGAAAAAAATTAAAACATCCTCAAACTCTATTTAAAACATCCTTCCAACTCCATTTTGAATTGCATTCTCTTGGAAACCAGAGACTACTCTTGGAGGTTAAAATAAAGCATTGAATCTTATATTATACTCTATATATATATAAGTCATTAGCTTATTTCATTTTCTGATACAACTCAAAGAAATTAGAGTTTTTTCATGGCAAGCAACAACTATCATGAACAGCTTCCAGTGCTCATAAATTATATAAGTGCAAATGAAGTGAAAGGGTTTGATAGCATGAAAGAAGATGGTGACTATAAATCAACACAAGTAAGCTATTTTCTTCATCATCCCTTGACAATATATACAATCTTTGATAGATAGATTTTCTCCATTTCTGTTTTATTTTAGATATATAGTTACTCTTTTATTATCATTATCTTGTCCATTTCAAAACGTTGAAGCCGTGAAGGTGATACGTAAGATTGTAAGAAGACATTCATATGAGTTCATATGATTTTGAGTAAGATTAACTAATCAACCGGATTCAATCTTTATAGCTCACTCGGTTGATCGATGATCAGGGGCGTAGCTAGGGGGACAACCTAGGTCTCGGTCCACCCCAAATTTAAAAAATGCTTGTATTTTTAGTGTAAAAAATTAAATTTCGTGTAAAAAAATCAAAAACATTCTTTGTACCGGTTTTGTACCATGGCTCCGCCACTTTCGATGATAATCCAAATTCCGAGTTTGTCATCGTGAGTGGCGGATTCATATAGACACGAGGGTCAAGTTGGTTGTGACTTAACCAGATGTGTATAAAATGTGTGCACATGTAGTACAATTGTACAAATGTCATATTCCTTCTAAAATATGCCATTGTTTATTACTAGGTAGCTGAAACAGCAGCCAAATTTGAAAATGAGGTAGCCAAATTTGAAAATGAGGTTCAAGTTCCTGAAAGTGTAGCAGCACAGGAAGAACAGCAGCCAAATTTGATGTCTCAACAGCCAATCCCAGGATGTTCCCCATCAAATGGTAATCCCAACAACATTAAACTGAAAGATAAAAGGTTTGACACTTTCAAAACATGGTCTGGACGGCTGGAGAGGAAATTGACACATCTAAGCGGAAATCAATCCGAAATACGTCCAGACGACTTGGAGGCTCAACATAGTCCTGAGCAGGCAGAAACCATAGATGTGGACCGATACTTTGATGCATTGGAAGGTGCAGAGCTGGACACCTTAAAGGTATGGATTATTAATTAAGCATATACTCCGTATATATTGAAGTAATTTCTCCATCATTTGCAATAGAGCCAAAGGCTCACTGTTTTCATACCCCATCGTAGGTGGGAGCCTTTGCGGCACTGGGGATAATGATAATGATATTGAAGTAATTATGTGTTTTATTAAAGTATGTTATATATATAGTACTATAATATATTAGAAAGCACCAACAAAAAAACACTTTTTGTAGAGGTTTTACATATCACATTTACTAATAATAAAATTGGTGGACAAAGAAATGACCACAAAGTCACTATTGTAGTTGCAAAAATATCATTATATCCACTACTGTTTGCTCTAGTTATTGCGATATAAAAGTCACATTTTTATCCATTATGTTTATTTGAGTCATATAACTTATATTTATATTATTGTTTGTAGGATTCTGAAAAAAGTGTTCTTCCAGAAGATGAGCAGTGGCCATTCCTTCTTCGTTTCCCCATCTCGTCATTCGGGATCTGTCTTGGAGTTGGTAGCCAAGCAGTCATGTGGAAAGCCATTTCCACAGCAGCTTCCACACAATTCCTTCACATAAGCCAAAATGTGAATCTTGTCTTGTGGTGTATATCTGTAGTTCTGGTGGCGCTTGTCGCTTCAATATACGTCCTGAAAGTTATTTTGTACTTTGAAGCGGTTCGACGCGAATACTATCATCCGATCCGTGTAAACTTCTTCTTTGCACCATGGATCGCCCTGCTATTCTTAGCTCTTGGAGTCCCACCATGTGTGACTGAGACCTTGCATGAATATTTATGGTACATCCTTATGACTCCCATATTTTGCTTGGAACTAAAAATCTATGGACAGTGGATGTCTGGAGGACAACGGAGGTTGTCAAAGGTAGCCAATCCGTCAAACCATCTCGCGGTTGTAGGGAATTTTGTTGGGGCGTTGCTTGGTGCAACAATGGGATTAAAAGAAGGCCCGCTTTTCTTCTTCGCGGTGGGATTGGCACATTACACTATATTGTTTGTCACACTCTACCAGAGACTGCCAACAAACGCCACGCTACCAAAGGAGCTTCACCCGGTTTTCTTCTTATTTGTTGCTGCACCTAGTATAGCCTCCATGGCATGGGCTAAGATTCAAGGCTCCTTTGGCTTTGGATCCAAGATTGCTTACTTCATTGCCTTATTCCTTTACATGTCACTGGTTAGTATATCTTCTGCTTTGTATTTATAATTTGTCCTAAATAGAGTAATCATACAGAGTATGTTTTTTAATCTCTTCCCCTTGTCACATGCAGGCAGTTCGCATTAACTTTTTCCGAGGGTTCAAATTCTCAATCGCGTGGTGGGCATACACATTCCCCATGACAGGAGCTGCAGTTGCCACAATTAGATATTCTTCTGCAGTGACGAGCACGGTATCAAAGTGTATTACAGTTGCACTATGTGGGATATCAACACTCACAGTGACCACATTGTTTGTGACAACCATCATTCACGCCTTTGTACTTCGAGACTTGTTTCCGAATGACAACGCCATTGCTATAAGTGATCAAAGAAGGTCTAAAAGCCATAATAGCATCAAATGGTATCTTAGGAGAGGTGGCAGCTCATCATATCATCAAGAAATCATTGATCATTACCTTAAATTTGCAGATTCTGCACTTGTCAAAGATATTGATGTTGGTGGTGTTACTAATCCAAATAGTGTTGTAGGTGTGGCTCCATGAATATGAATTACTCCGAAAGTTAGTTCTTTATGATAGGAATGAATCAATTTATATGTTTGTTATATTCTTTTGTAATTAATATCTCCATAATCTATGTATATACATTCTTAGTTAATCATGTATTTATCTAGTGGAGGATCCACATCGACTATGATATTGAGTGTAGCATTTAATTTTGTAATACAAGTTAGATACAAATAAAAAGAATGCTTTTGATGCTACACACATAAGGATCATTGGTCAGACATAAGGGTAAAATTTTATAATGGTCCTAATGGACATTAAAGTATCTAACCTTTCTATGATGAGCAAGGTTCCTGTATTTTAACTCTTCAACTAACCTCCAACAAAATATTAAGCGACCTAGAGCAAACAAAGGAACAAGGTTCTGCCTTTGCATTGTCAAAGATTACGAATTCCATATATATAGGCTCCTTCAAGAATGATGCAACGGTATTCAAGTCAATGTCAAACCTCGACATGAGATGGCTTTTGTTGTTTAGAAAGGGCTTCATGTAAGATTTCTTAAAGAAGAATGTATTCTTGGTAGGGATGGATTCGGTTCGGGCCACCCGGCCCGTGACTCGGGCCGGCCCGGTACTGTGTGGGCCCGGGACCGGCCCGGTCGGGCGGTTTGGGACCGGGTATGGGCCCGGACCGGTGGGAAGGGACGGGGCGGGCTCGGTTCTGCATTATTGTGACCCGGCCCGGCCGGGTCGGGCCCGGGTCCGGGTCCGGTTCTATTTTTAAAAAAAAAAAATAAATTGGTTTGGGCTCCTACTAGCCGTTGGGGGTGGGGCTGGGGACAACCCAAACGGCTATATAGCCGTTGGGTGGGGTAAAGGGGGGGTCCGGGGGGGTTGGCTGGTAGGGGGGGGTGGGGGTGGGGGGTAAAAAAACCTATAAATACTCCTAATCTTAAACATTTTTTCATATCTCTTCTCCAATTCTTCCTAAATCCTATTCTTAACTCTCTAATTCTCTTATTCTCCAATATATTATACATCTACTCTCTAATTCTCTTCTCCAAGAAGTTAAGATGGAAAATCAAAATGCCATTATACGGTATAATTTTGATAAGCAGAAGGACCCGAAGACCGGGATGTGGTACGCAATTTGCAAATGGTGCGAAAAAAAATGTATCATCGGGGCTTCAGGCGGATTCGGGATGGCAATCAAGCATATGAAGTCATGTGACAAAGCCAAAGGATCGGGAGGTGCGGGAAGTTCCGATTGATTACAATTTTCAAAATGTTTATGAGTTTATCTCTTAAAGTTTGTTTTAATTTTCAAATGTAGTTCCTATTTCATTTCAAATAAATGCAATTGAAGTTTGTTTTTAATACTCGTATAAAACTATAAACTATAAAATATAAATTATAAAAAAAAAATTAACCGGCACGGCCCGAACCGGACCCGACCCGTGACCCGGGCGGGTGGCCCGGCCCGAACCGGACCCGTCCAACCCTCGGGCCGGTCCCGGGCCCACTTTTCTTGAACCGGCGGCCCGACCCGGCCCGAATCCATCCCTAATTCTTGGTGCTTCCATTTAGTTTATAGGTCACGATAAAAAGTACTTTGTGTTGGATTCATGCCTAATTAAGCGTAAAATGTTCACAGCCCAACTGCCCAAGAATTCAACATCATTTTGGGGCTCAAGAACATGAAGAAAGAGAGACCCCAAAATTCATAATTTCTCTATTTGTAGGCTCATAAATTAGTACTTCTCACCCTATAGTAATAGGCCACAAATGAGCCTAGCTTTTGGGTCTAGGATATGCCAGCAGACTATGTTGTACCTAAAAGTTTGGTTCTTTTTCTTACAAATGCACTTTTTACCCATGCACCAAGTAAAGCATGACTTCATTTTTTTGTAATATCAACAATCATTCCATCAAATTAGGAGTGGACTCGGGCCGGTTCGGGCCCGGTTCGGGCCTGGGCCCGGCCGGGCCTCGGTTCAAGAAGGGGAGGCCCGGAACCGGCCCGGGTAAACCCCGGGTCCGGGCCGGGCCGGGCCGGGCCGGGCCTCGGGTATTTTTTTTTTTTGGGGGCTTTTCCTAGTTAACCCCCACCCCTCCCCCTCACCCCCAAACCAACCCTAACCACCTCAAATGGCCCAAAATAACCAGCCCAACCCAAAAACTAAAAAAAAATTCAAAAAAAAATTAAAATTGGCCCGGCCCGGGCCCGAACCGGCCGGGCCGGTTCACCTTTTGAAGGGCCCGAGCCCGAACCGAGAATCCACCGGGCCGGGTGGCCCGAACCGCCCAACGAACCGGTTCCCGGGCCGGTCCGGGCCCGCACAGTGGCGGGCCGGTCCGGTTCCGGGCCGGTTGGCCCGGCCCGAGTAGGAGTGGACTCGGGCCGGTTCGGGCCTGGGCCCGGCCAGGCCTCGGTTCAAGAAGGGGAGGCCCGGAACCGGCCCGGGTAAACCCCGGGTCCGGGCCGGGCCAGGCCGGGCCGGGCCTCGGGTATTTTTTTTTTTTTTGGGGGGCTTTTCCTAGTTAACCCCCACCCCTCCCCCTCACCCCCAAACCAACCCTAACCACCTCAAATGGCCCAAAATAACCAGCCCAACCCAAAAACTAAAAAAAAATTCAAAAAAAAAATTAAAATTGGCCCGGCCCGGGCCCGAACCGGCCGGGCCAGTTCACCTTTTGAAGGGCCCGAGCCCGAACCGAGAATCCACCGGGCCGGGTGGCCCGAACCGCCCAACGAACCGGTTCCCGGGCCGGTCCGGGCCCGCACAGTGGCGGGCCGGTCCGGTTCCGGGCCGGTTGGCCCGGCCCGAGTCCACCCCTACATCAAATTATTATCCGAGTTAACAATTATGATGGTGCATGAGGTATGCCAGTATGTGGGCATCGTCTCACCAAATTAACTGCTTAATAGCCTTTTGCCCTTTTGTGTTGGTACTTTGGTAATGTTGAGCAAGTCTGGAACAGCTAATGTTGAATTGTGTGTTGTGATTTGTGACAGCGAGCTTAATAAGTAGAAACTGGAGATAGGAAGGTTGCTTGAATAGTGCGTATATGTTTGAAAACTAAAAGATAGCATTCCAGTGAGCTAGGGGCGGCAAGGCTAGATCCTGAATAGACTTCAACACAGATTTGCCCGTCTCATTTCTCTTTGATTCTGAATTCAGTTGTAATAGAAAACTTAAAGGCAAACAGCAGCTCAAGGCCATTTAATAATTACAATGTTATTAAATTAATAAATTTTAAATTAATAAACATTATATTACAGCTATAAAGAATCTACTTAGAACTTCATACCCAGATAAAGAAGACGCTTTCATGGACTTCTAATAAATGTTCCAGGAACATGAAAATTTGCAAGACATGAAATGATACTTGCAGGGTGGACACAAAAACATCCTTGAATTTCATCATTCTTCCTCGTCCAAATCGATCATTGCCATCCTGAATCGTCTTTTTCTTGATCCTTCAGCGTTCTTGTTTGATGATGCAGTGGGAACATCATCACCCTCAACGTCATCATCCAACCTCTCGTGGATAACCTCCAAAAGCTGTGATTCATTCTCACTGCTTGATCCATCGACTCCAGTCTTGATGTTTTCTTCATATTCTACCCTACAATATATATATATACTCCATATATAACATATGTATATGTATATTTAATTACTATTGGAATATTATTGTCAGTGGCAGTTGTAACCAACTCCTGAAAATTACCTGCTTGATTTATCATTAGCAATATTTGCGAAGTCTTCTCCCGTAGAATTTTTTGTGTAGTTATCTGCACTTTTCTTCCTCATTTTCCTGCTGACAGAGGCCTTAGTCAGGCTATGTTTGGAATTCACAAAAAGGGGGGGGGGGGGGGGGGGGGGGACAGCAAGAAAAATGAAAAATGTGTTCTTTTACCTTGCAAGATACAAATGAGAAACAAATCTGTATAAATTCTATATATTTTCACGCCCATTTAAAAAGTTATTGTCTTCATATACTCCGTAATAGAAAGTTATTAAGTTTGAAGTAACTTTCTGTTATCCACCAAACTTCGTTTCCTCCCAAATTTCCTCTTTATATCCCTAACATTTTCCGGGTTCCAAATGGAACCTTACACAACAAATAATAATACTGTTATTATATTAATAACATTGTTATTAATAATAATAATAATAATGTTATTATAATAGAAAAATAAATATAAAATAGATAGATATATAAAAAATACATCAACTAATACTCCATCCGTCCCATTTAGAGGTTCATGGTTCTGTTTACGACGGTTGATAAAGGTAAAATTAACTCTTTCATAATAAAATACATAGTACATAATAATATTAATAATTAAAATCTACACATTCAGAAACAATGTCATAAGTTGTACAGAATCGCAAAAAAAACTAGATTAAATATGAGTAAAGATTACTATATAAATCAGTCAATCAGATATTCAAAGAGAGTTAAGTTGACTCCGTGAATAGTGTGCGAGTGTGTGTGTATACACAAGGAACCCTGACAAGGCTAGAAAGAAGTGAAATGGAGCATACTTTACAACTTTACACAGAAGTTCTTCATCATCATCAGGTTCATATTGTCTTTCTTCATGAGCATCTCCCTTGAGCTGTTTCTTGCTCCTATAACATCATTGACAGATTAAGATCTTTACATACTTTTTCGTGGCTGAATTAAAAAAAAAAACTGTACATGCACACTCATACAAAGAGAGTATGTGGTACCTTGTTTTCATTGACAGTAAAGTTTCATCATCTGATTTGTCAGTAATAGCTTCATCCCTCAAATGTAAGTTGGAACTAGACTTCCTCTTTTTAGGAACAAACAGACCTAGTTGTTTAAGTTTACGCGAAATCTTTGCTGCTGAGAAAGTTCCTTCAGAGCCCAATGCATCAGCTATCATCTGACTGCACCTCTTTTGATCTTTATACCTTCACCACAACAAAACTATATGAGCACCCCACGACATTTTGGAATTATTATAATGTTTCAAACGGAAAGAAAAAAGTAACTGATTATTGTACTCCTTTGGTCCAAAAAAAAATATTGAGTACAACCTTTTTAAGGCAATTGACTAAACCCATTGCAGCTTCTCTTTGTAGTAACTTTACTTTAGAATGAAATTTGACTTTTTAAACGGGAATCTTTCGTTGGGAGGACAAGAAAATCTCTTTTGGGAGGGAGTAAGTAATAAACATATGAAAACTCACTGCTCAAACAAAGCTTTGATTTTCTGCTCCTGTTCTTCACTAAATGCTTGCACCCTCTTTCTATTGTGTCTGGAGATTTTTTTGTTAGAGATAAGGAATTCAATCAAATACATGGTAACATATACGTTTAAGTGTTTAACAAACATAATTACTGAAGAAACTTACATAGACCTTCTTACTGAAGATTCTTTCTCCCCAATGTTCCCATCTGACATGCTTGCTAAATCCCCAAATTGATTGGGAGCACTTGCACTACTTGGTATTCTCTTCCTTCGTGGAATCTTTAATCCAAGATGTTTAAGTGCTCTGGATACCTGAAGTGGTAAAACCTTCCCATTTGGATCGAGGGCTTCAGCAATGAGGCGGTCACAATGCTGTTGATCTTTATACCTGCACATGCCAGGTTCACCCAAACATAAACTAGTAAATGGCTATGAATACGTTTAGTGGATGTAGGATACATGAAAAAGTAAGGGAAATGAAGTAAGGGAATCTATTCCATTGTGTTTGGTTTTACCTCAGAAAATACAAGGAAAATGAAATATGAATAATGTTTTAAGAATGTATACATATGCCTGCATTTTTAAATAAAATGGGTATGATTTTCCTTCACATTTCAACAATTCCGAATTCCGCTACAGTTTCCTCCCAATTTTCTGTACCTAGCATTTTCCAGGTTCCAAACAGACCAACAGACCATTAGAGGTAACATTTGAGTTTGTGGCATTGGTCCTAATTACAATGCGACGTATTTCACACGATGCAATCAATAATATTTCAAATGATATAACCTAATTAACATCTCAGTATGCTTATGACAAGTGAATTATGAAAATTTTCAGCAATATATTGCAATGGGTAATACTTACTTCTCATAAAGTTCCTTGACTTTTTCTTTCAATTCATAGCCAAGGACTGATAGTTTTCTTCTTTTTGGTACCCTCCCAATCTCTTTGTCAACACAGTGATCCTCTCTACATGAGAAGGAGAAATAAGTAGTGTCCACAACCAAGAAAACAGATGGTGAATACTGAATATCAACAGAACACTTCTTCTTGAAGACTTACTTGCCAAAGTTTTCATCTGCACAAATTTCAACATCTGAGACGTATTGGAAATTATGTCCATCCTCTTCATTAAAATCTTGATTTCTGCTTCCTTCAGTGCCCCATGTCTTATCTCTGAATATGGCAGCACAGTAGAGATGCAGAATGTAAGAACAGATATTAAGGCACCAGTTGGTAGTAAACTTCGGCTTATTTCGCTTATCAGCTCTAAGAGCATTTTTTGTCCATACATTTCAGCTTCTTTTGTAATACTTCAGCAGTTCATTAAAAAGCATCATTATTGGGGATATGACTAACAGTTGGGGGGGACAAAAATCTTTTTCCTTTCAAATTTTAGCTGTTCTAGAGAAGTTAGAAATTTGTAGTGTTTTAGAGGTAAAAAAAAACTTCAGACTTTTATGGCTCTTATTTTCATTCAGCTGTTCTCATACCTATTTTACCTTTAAAAGGCTAATTTTTTTGCATCCAGAAGAAATCATTTATTTTCAAACCACTTTTCAGCAAACAAAAATTGATTGTGATTATAATATATTAAAGCAGTAATTAATTATACACTTAAGCTCAAAATATAGATTATTTCAAATTCAGCAGATTCACAACTTTCAGCCAAATATCTTAATATCACTTGGCTAACAGGCCCATAAACCATTAGTATAATTAGCAATAACCTTGGAAAAATTTAAGTGGGGATGTTTCTAACCACAAAGTGTGTTCCCAGAAGGCCAGAATATCAACATTACCAAACATGTTACCTTACAGAATCTTCATGTGAGAATACAAAGTCAGCTTCGTCATCACCAAGTGCATCAGCTATACTTCTGTGTGGCCATCCTTGCCGGTCAGATGAAGGAAGATCGCTTTCACCAAAAGAACTCCAACCTTTGCTGCTTTTCCTCAGACTGGAGAGATCATTAAGCATAGATTCACAATTGATATAGCAGCATTCTTTGCGTGTTTTCCAAAAGAGAACTTCTATGAAAAGAAGGGGATAACTCTTCATTTTCCTCAGCATTCTTCTGACCAGAGTTGTAAGGAAAAGGACAATACTCTCATACTCTTTGCAAGGCTTTAGCTTCTGCTCCTCTAGAATATCATAGAATATTGTGAGGAGAGATAACTGCAAGCTCAACCAGAAGGATGAATGTGAGAATGTGAGAGATACATTCATTGATTGCTATCCCTCCAACAAAAGAAACAAAATAGAATATTGCCGCCATTGCAAGAGAGATAAAATATACATTTTAAACTCACTTGAAATGGTTGAATCATTTAAATAAATTACATTAAGTATATTGAATGTTAGCTTCATTCGTTCCAATGGGACTCTTTTTGTGAGACACAGAGGGTAATAATAACAACTCAAGGCATGAAACTGTTTAGATACCTGATACAGCATAGGAGAAAGTTCCAAATCATTACAGATCCTCTGCAGCATGTGAATGATAGAATTATTTGTAATAGCAGAGTTTGTCTTATAGAACTTCAACAGCCAACAGAAATTGTGCACAACAGAATTGCTTGCTATTGCAGAAACTAAAGCAGACACTTTCAGGTCAACTTCCCCTCTCATCCCATCATCATCATCACCCTCCTCCTCACCAGAACAATCATTTGTTCCGTTATTAAAATCACTGAAAGTTTCATTTGTATTCTTTTGTTCTGATGATTCATCATCAACATTCAAAGTATCAATATTCACTGGTCTCTCATTGCTCAAGCCATCAATATCATTCTGAACGGCATTAGAATCTGCAACTGTTTCATCAATCTTTCTTTTGTCCGCACCCAATACAGTAGGTTCATCAACCTCAGATGGAATGGCATTATCTCCTTGCATGACATGATCCAAAGATGTTCTCCTTTTGCAGTCAGATAACTCAGATACTTCTTGATCATTTTGAACTGTAGTTGCATCTGGAAATGTGTTGCCATCATTTACTTTCTTGCCATCCATTGTTGCTTTTTTCTTTTGCCTCTTCCTTAGCTTCTTTGAAACCTTCATTACAAAAAGTATTTACCTCTTAAATTTAATTTATTGAAACAGAAAGAACTAGCATAGCAGAAATATGTCTCAGATTGAATAACATAGGAAGATGAAAAGTGATGAAACATAGATCCTAGGGATTACCATCCAGCTAAAGTCTAGCAGGTTTCTCCATACTAATGTCTTGTCAGAGTAGTTACTTCAATGAATAAAAAAGTAGGAGCCTACCACCACCCCATCTCCCCCTTGTTTTACAGAGTAGATACTTGTCACCCAAGCAGAGTTATGGCATGTTAGGAATAGTATATATTACCATACGAGTGCTTATCAGTAATTGTACGGTTGTTAATAGTCTGTTAGGCTTCTGTACTGTTAGTCGTTAATCTGTTGAGATGACATGATCCTTGCATGATTAAATACTCTGTAACAGATTACTTCTCAATAAGATGATTTCATTTCCATCTTCTACCTTGCAGATTCCAAAGGGGTGAAAACACCTATGGTGAGTAGCTGTAAACACTAAACTCACCACTGAAGGAAATGATCATCTTCCTGACCCTTCCTATTACAGATCTGTTGTTGGAATCCTACAATATGCCACCTTAACCAGGCCTGAACTCAGCTACTCTGTGAATAAAGTGTGTCAGTTTATTGATGCACCTTTACAAGAGCATTGGAAAGCTGTTAAACACGTATTAAGATATCTATCTGGCACCATTTCCCATGGCCTGATCATTAAACCTCTTCCTTTATCCACCATGCCTCTACCTAGCTTTCTGTGATGCTGACTGGGCATCTGATCCCACAGACAGAAAATCCACATCTGGATCATGCATCTTTTTAGGCCCCAACATTATCTCTTGGTGGTCTACGAAACAACTGAGAGTTGCCAGATCTTCAGCAGAAGCTGAATACATAAGCCTTGCAGAGTTGCAGATACTACATCTGAGATATTATGGGTTCAATTTGTACTCAAAGAACTTCAAACCCCTTTATCACTCCCAAAATCTACTGTGACAACCTTAGCACAGTCCAGCTAGCCCATAATCCTGTCCTACATTCTCGTATTAAGCACATTAGAATTGATCTCTTCTTTGTAAGAGAAAAGGTTACACTTAAGCAGCTTGAAGTTGTTCACATTCCAGCCTCTCAACAAGTTGCAGATGTGTTAACTAAGCCTCTGTCTGCTTCCACATTTCTTGATTTTAGAACCAAACTCAGTGTGATTGACTTTCCAAAGCAATCACCCTCAGTTTGAGGGGGAAATGTTAGGGATAGTATATACTAGTATTTTTACCTGTGCCGTGCACGGGATAAAATACACTTTTATATTTTAAGTTTTATTATAAACTTTCAGAATATTTTACATTTGAAAGAGAGTATGCTTTTAATCATTTTTAAAAACTATCAGATACAATCATACACGTATGAATTTTATTTGAATGCAATTCTAGAAAAAAAGAAGAGCCTATTTAATGATCTCTATTTTCAACTTATTAGTCTTATCAACCAACTTTTAATAAGCACGTAAATTTTTATTCTTTGCGCTGAATTGTGTCATAATCAAAATAAGTAAAGTTGAACTCACTTTTCTAACTGATTTGGCTTAAGTTACTCCAGAAGATAATTTGAGTGCAATTCTAGAAAAAATTTAGAGATCAGTTTGATAACTTCTATTTCCAGCTGCTTATCAATCTTATCAACCAACTTTTATAATTATTCAAAGAGAACACACACCAAACAGTAGCTAATGAGTTCAACTTTACTCATTCTAATTATTACATAATACTCATTTTTTATTATTTTTAATTTAAAAATATTTATTTATTTTTGAACTTATACTAATCTTACATTATTAAATTATTTTTTAAATTTATATGAGTTTTTATAAGATTAATCAGTTTTTTTAAATAACCGGTTATAACAAGTTAAAATGACTTAATTGGCGGTACATTTAAAGTAAACATATTTATATGACACTTTTTTTAATATACGGACTCAAGTGATGAATTCGATTTAGTAAAATGATCTATTTGACCTTTTGTCTTTTTGCTTTGATCGTCGCTAGGGATGTTTGAGGCACAAAACTTAAGGCACGTTGATTTGCACAAACCTCAAATACAATGTTTTTATTTCTTCATTTATGTGCCCCTCTTTTTGAATAGTTACTTAATAATATTCCTAATGTATTCCAAATTTTCCAAATGAGAGTTTTTCAAAATTGAAAGTGCTAAAGAGAATATGTCAAATGTAAACTTTCAGAATATTTTACATGATTACATTCCAAAGAGAGTATGCTTTTAATCATTTTTTAAAACTATCAGATACACTCATAGACGTATAAATTTTACTTGAATGTAATTCTAGAAAAAAATAAGAGCCCATTTAATAATCTCTATTTTCAACTTATTAGTCTTATCAATCAACTTTTTAATAAGCACGTAAATTTTTATTCTTCACGATGAATTGTGTCATAATCAAAATAAGTAAAGTTGAACTTATTTTTCTCACTGATTTGGCTCAAGTTACTCCTGAAGATAATTTGAGTGCAATTCTATTTTAGTGCAATTCTAGAAAAGTTAAGAGATCCGCCAATTTTATCAGCTGCTTATCAATCTTATCAGCCAAATTTTTTATAACACGTAACTTTTGATTCTTCAAACTGAATTACTGAATTGTGTAATAGTCAAATAAGTGAAGTTAGATTTACTTTTCTGGCTGAATTAATTAAAGTTATTGTAGAAGGTTATTTTAGATTTTTTATATGATTTATCTTTAGTCTATTCTTAAAATCTATTTAAAACATTTTTTATAGTTTTTTAAGCCATCATTCGGAGTATGTATGTTCTTAGATATGCAGAGTATGTATTTATGAAGCTGTTTTGAGTCCAATTGATTTATTCTAGCCAATTAGAATAAAAGTCTAGTACTTTAGTTATGTTTTTAACGTGCAGGTCATTCACAGATTGGAGTGCAGTGATATTGTAATATAACATGGACTTCTAAAGTTTAGGAATTTCATTGTCTGAAGGCTTTTAAGTGCTCTAAAATTTAGCAATTTTAATTGACGTAAAAGAAGAATTAATAGACATGATTCTAAATTAAAAGGATGATTTAGAATATTATGATGAATGAGTTGCTTAGAACATGATACATGGCAACACTTTCCATAATTGTATCTTTGAAATGTATTATCTATAGATTACTATATGAGTGCTTCTCAGTAATTGTACGGTTGTTAATAGTCTGTTAGGCCTCTGTACTGTTAGTTGTTAATCTGTTTTTTTTTTGGATGAAAGTTGTTAATCTGTTGAGACTACTACATGTATAAATACTCTGTAACAGATTACTTCTCAATAAGATGATTTCATTTCCATCTTCTACCTTGCTACTATTCTAATATGGCAAATTAAAGTTGATTAAGGGGGTGATTTACTAAGTAAAGAGCTCAAGTATATAAGCATTGTATTCCATCAACATAATGAGCAAGAGTGTCCCCATACTTGAAAATTCTTATCTTGCCAAGGCATTCGCTAATAATAATCAATGTAAGGAAAACAAATCAGAGTAATAAGTTAAGACATAGGACAACAAGTAATTACAAATGAAATTTGGAACATACCCTTAACATGCCACATGCTTGAAGCCTCTCCATTAGCTGCAGAACAATACTCATAGTTTCTAACAAATCAGCAAGGTAACTGCCATGAACAAAGTTCATTAATAAACAAAAGGCATATACCAATCCAAAACTCTTTAGTCTACTATCCTACACATGTTTATAGAGTGTAACAGATACGATACTGTCTTTCTAGAGCATCTTTCTAGGTAGATGCTCAGATTTATTCTTAATCTGAATGTATTGAAACGACATTATATTCTCAAGCACCTTAACTCTTGGCCTTATGAATACATCTTTTTACTTATTTTAAACAAAACAACTGTAAAAAATGTGATTGGGAAGATAAGGCACAATTGAATATTTTTTCCCTTCAGCTCCCATAACAAAAAAACAAACCTTTTTTTTTGCTTGTTATTATCAAATGATTTGATCTGGTTCAAGATAAACTGAGTCATTCCTTCTTCAGTTTGGTCATAGAATAACTTGTACAGAAGGATGCGAGTAGTTTGGTTTTCCTTGGAATCTTCGGGAGACTGCTTCAGGACCAAATCCAACATAAGAAGCTGTTCAAAAAAACAGATATGGAGTGCTTAGAGAAAATATTGGAAGATGTATGCTGATTAAATGGAGGCAATAACATGCTGGAAAAATTGAAGAGTACTTATGCAGCTACAATTAATTATGCATGAATCCAAGACTAACCAATTTGAAAACAACAACATCCAAGCCCTAGTCCCAAAAGAGTTTGGAGTCAGATAACACCAATCAACTTGAAAAACTAGAAAAATCCAATCTACAAGGAATTAAATAGCTATTGTATCAGCAGTTAGACAGCAGACGCTTAGACTCAGTTCACACACAGCCACATAGGAATTACATGTTGGAGCTAAAAGTGATCCTTCTACATTAAAAAGGCTGCTAATCAAATAAATGAAAGTTTACTCACCATAGTTTTCATGAAGGATCCGGCTGTAGAAAGAAATTTATAGTCATTTGTTTCCTTCAGAGTGTGAAATGCATATCGCCATTTATGAGTAACCAGCTGGAACATTGACTCATTTAGTGATTCAGCAATTGGACCACATATAGATCCCCGAAGCAAAGTATCATCAGAATCACAATTGACTGGTGATTCAGTATGAGCTCCAGTATTATGCTGCTGACAAGCAGAAACAAATTATATAACTAAGTGAATGATTACAAAAGATCTATCCTAGGAAAAAAGATAAAGAACCTAAGTAGATTTATCACCTTGTTCAAGAATTTGTGGTACTGAAAAGAAATAACAAATTGTGCAACTTGAATGAATATAAGAACATCACTGTTCTGGATTGAGTGGTGTTCTTTCTCAATATCTTCCCTCACAGAGTGCATCAAAACTGAATTTGCAATTTTTTCATCAGTACCATAGGAAGTAACAGCTAAAGGGACGAAAAAACATTATAATTTGGTCTAGATGGCTTACCATTATATCCCCCCTCTAAAAACTGGTTAATAAAATCATACAGCAACTCCAAGATCTTATTCGTGGTTGATGGTAATCTTACATGGTCCCACGCTGTTCTTTTAATTGGACCTCGGTTATTTTTATGAGCTTTAAGTCGGGCTTCATGAGAAACCGAAGGATTCCCTTTCAATAATGTTTTTGAGCCATCCTGTAAAGTGTTTGGTGCTGACATGAATACATTTATATATACATATACATAAATGTGTGTTATATATAAATATAACACAAACTAGTATACCGCAGTAAGCCGTGTGAATGTTCCACTGAACTGAGAATAGCAAACTAAATTTCGTTGACGGAGAAGCCTTCTTTTTTCATGTTCCTCTGCCATTATCTCTCTGAGGCTGTTAACAGAACTTTCAACAACTTCATCCACCTAATAAGAAAAACTCATCATGAGAGATAAACAGAGCTTGAACAGCCAGAGACATTATTTGATAGATTATTTATAATAGTAACATTTATATTATAATCAGAGCTTGAACAGCAAAACTCCACACTTTCTCCATATTTAACACCTTGTTGCTTAGGGCTCTGGTGCTATGGTGATCAAAATGATACCAACCTGTGAAGACTTTGAATAAGCTTTTATAATCAACTCTGGTTCTTGGCCCATAAATATGAAATAAAATATCTCCAGCAAGAGAAGTTTATCATGATGGAGATATCTACATGTCCCACCCATGTGCTGTGACAAGACTAAGATCACATCCATCACATTTTCTCGAAATAAAAGTTCCAGAAATTTGTCTCTTAGGAACAGAAATTGTGAGGCAGATGCCCCAGCTTTTTGATGTGGTGATATATCTTGAATAGCCAAAATGTTGCGAAACAATGTAACCACCAGTTGAACAAGTTTCCAGTCATCTTCAGTGAAGGACTCACTGGTTAATAAGATAAAAAGGATGAAAAGAAAATTGGAAGTTAGCTTATAATGAGAATATGAATAAATTTAGAAGGCGAGCTTTAGAGAATGCAAGGATTACATCCATTCATGCACTTTATGGCTCGAAGCAAGAGGGGATTCTATGTTAAGTAACTCAAACAATGAGAAGGAAACCACTCATAACTTAAATATTCACAAAGCATACAATAGTATAGATTAAGAATGGTTTTTATTTCCGCAATGTCAGAAAAAAACGGCTCACTTCTTGATGTCTGTAAATAATAGCAGTTCACACACATACAGAGAAGTAAAATATGAGCCATTGGAGGATATTTTCTGCTAACCGTTCAAGATTTTCTAAAGGGCTTTCCAAGAGAGACATGATAACTGGCACAACATCACTGAGAGTAATGGAAGACTTTATCCCCCAAAGGTCTTCCATCTGCTGGGGTATGTCCATTGATGATGGCTCAATTGGCATGGTTAGAAATACCAAGACCTTTACTGCAATGGTGAGGGAACAAAAGATATTCAACTTTCAAGTGTAAAAAGAAGGGAAAAAACACAAAGCAAAGCTAGTGATTAAAGCTTTAATTACCCGCACTTAAAACCAAATTTCGATCTTCAAGGCAATACTCAATGATGGGGAGCAAATCTTTCCCCACAATGTTCCATTTACACACTTGCTTGAACACTTCTCTTGTTTGTGGGTCATCTCTCCTCAGAAACCTTAGCAAATCCTTCAAATTATCTGCAAAAAATAAAGAAAACAGAATCCTTCAGAAACAAAAACTATATTACTACCATCCATTTTAACAAAAGATCAAACTAAGAATAATGGGAAGGGATCTGTTCTAATGGACAATGGTCGAAGTAAAATATATAGACAAGCACAAATATGACATCACAACAAGACAAACAGAGTTGGCTCGCAGAGAATCAACTGAAGAAAGATGCATATTCAATTAGATAAGAGGGGCGTAATTTCGGTCACCTGAGCAGTGCTCTCCTGTTGCATAGCCGATACGATTGTCATTTTCGTCTTCCTCAATTGCTCCAAGACCGGCGCAGATAGCAGATAATCCTTCCATTTCAATGCCAAACTTCGTCTGTATCCTGGATTTCAAGGTCGTCCGAATTAGGATTCTTAGTGATCAAAGAGATTAATTGTTTTAGCGGCTGCCTTTAGATTGATGAGAGTGAAGTTTGGCTGAGTGAGAATTCTCGGATCTCACTTGATTTTAGCAGTAGGGTTTTTATGGCGCCAAACTTATTTCCCGCGCTTGAGAAAAACTCTTTGAAGTCTCCGTGAGTAAGCTGTGTCATCGTTCCGCGGCAATCGTGCTAGGTGTGGAAAAAAACACGGTTCCTATTTGAAAGTGGCTTATATTAAGATAAGGGTAACAGAACTTAGGATATAACATGTTGTCTATCGTCTTCCTTTTAATCAGACTTGAAACTTGTCACCCCACATAAGCAGCCAAATTCGCTTATCTTGAATTAGGTTTACCCGAGCCAAACACCGGTAAACTAGACTCCTCATCATCTGTTGTATGTTCTAAAGTTTTGGCATGAATAAAAACTAAAGCAACCAGAAACACACGATGTCCGAAACAAAAAACAACATGAAAGAAAATAAGTTTAAAATTGAAAACTTCTTCGGCTGCAAAGAGAACTGTTATTCCATTCCCCGATACCTACCAAGGAAAATCTCGAATTTGACCTCAGCCCATCCATAGGTGTGACTGAACTCGCTATTCTAAGATGAGATCACATGAAGATACAACTTTACTATCAAATAGATATCTTTGCTCTTCAGCCAAGAAGTCCGAAAGCAAATAGAAGATACTATACTCGACTGATAAGGAGAGGAAGAAAATAAGAGTTTGAAATTGGATCTTCATGGATTTTGGCGAGTGTGGCTGTTCCAGCCCGCCTCTTCCCTATTTTTTGTCCCGTCAAGAGCCATGACATCATCCCCTGAGTTCTCCTGCTCATGTGCCTCCTAGGTACGCCTTCTCTTATGCTCTCTTGGTCCACTACTACTCTGTCCCGCTCCATCCTTATTAGGTGGCCCCATTCCTCCTTGGATTTCATCTTTCGTAAAGCTCTGAACCTGTTCAAGCTTCTCCTCGTAGCTCCTTTCCGGCTTGGTTATGCCTCTCCCTGTACCTCCTTCACTCACAAACCATTTATTACCCAAAGATGGGTGAGGCCTCCCCCCTCCCGCCTGCAACCACAGACCAAAAGATTTAACAATGTTTTTAAATAGTTTTAAATAGATTTAACAATAGTTTTGCATACAATATAAAGGGCAAGCCCTCTCAGCATGTCATATTATTCCACAAGTAAAACAAAAACTGAGAAGTCTTTCATACTTGAAATCAACCCAATAACCTTCAACTTCACTCTTGTTCAAGGTAATTCCAACTTTCAAGGGGTTTCTCACACCCAAATTCACCCTAACCCTCATATAAGCCTCCCATTTCTCATCGATTTGGTTATCATCTCAGGTAATAAACTTCCCCATGTGGTTCCCAAATCTACGAGCGGTGCCCAGATTCGAAAAACATATGGAATGTTGTGCACCTGTATCCCAAAAATCAGCTGAATGTAGAGGGACCTTCAAAGGAATATCCACCGGTTTTATGGTCTTTAACATCAGCAGGTTTTGATCAAACAACCAGGGTCCATTTTCCAACACACGAGTCATATCAACTATGTTATAAAATTTAAACAAATACCTCCTCTCTCTGGTCTCCTAAATCAACACTCCTTTGCCCGGACGCCACAGAACCGTCATCAAATCTTTGAAAATATGGAACTTCACCACTTTGCTCGCGAGAGTCGTGCTGACAACTGAGAATGTGTTCACCTCCATGTCCGCCGCATTGAGATCAACCTCTGGTTCTTCATCGTCGTCTAGCAACAGTTCATCCGGCGTAGGACCCAAGCCCATACCATCGCATTGGTCAATCAATCTCTCCACATGAACGTTGCCTATGCTCGAAGAGGTCTCCCCGTCCTCGTCCTTCTGTTCGCCGTTGATCTATGCTTGGAATTCTCCTGTCGCCATAGTCTCTTGCAATCTACCGAATGCCGAGGTTGAGCTGCACAAACTCGACATAAGTTCAAAACCTTACTGAGAGGGAGAGTTGCATTGAAACAAAGAAGTTATTAGATAAAATGGAATTTGGAAACTAATAATCTCATTCTCATCTACTATGGTTGTGGTGGACTTTTTTTAGTTCATAGACTTTTAAGAAAGTCAATTGACTTTTAAATTCATAGTCTTTTTTATGAATAAATTCCATTGACTTTTAAATCCATGCATAATTTTATAGACTTTCAAAAAGTTCATAGACTTTTAAATCCGGATCGTCATTGTTAGGTCATCGGAATTTTCACCTACATCGCTGCTACCGATCTGCATGTCCGCCTCTGTCACCGGAGTTCGCCGTCATCGTCATCGGACTGATCCGCCACCAATAAAATGACTTTGATTATGCAAGGAAACTAGTGGCAATTAATTATACATGGTACTAATTAATTAGATTAGGGGTAGAAATGTAATATTTAGCGCTATTTAAGGAAAATCAAACATATGATCATACTTTTCGAAAAATGATGTTTTTAGTCTTACCGTGAGTATTGTCCTATGTATAATGTGATAAGAAATAATTAAATAAAAGAATGAAACAAATGTAATTCATATAGCAACACAAAATTCTACAAGAAAAAATTGAAGCCTAAGAATCCAAATTTGTATTTATTAAAAAGAAAAGTCGGAGTTCCTAGAATTTTCAACAACCTCGGTCTCGTTATGATCAATTATTATATTAGACAACTCAATGGGTGAGAACATTAATCATTACGTACACAAGTGTTACACGCATTGCTGCATGTGGTACAAACATGGGTGCAATCGAACTTTTCTTCTTAATAATTGCTTTAGTTTCATTTTTAGCTTGTTAAATTTTGTATACTTATTTGCGGTTAAATGTTTATCAATTTAAAATTATCTTTATGCGTTAGCGGTTTAACGATGAAACACAATAATAGTTAAAAAAAATTTCTTAATGGTTAACTGACAACGTACTAGAATTGCACCGATGTAATACTGCCGGTTCTTATATAGTTTCTTCTAAAAACTTCTAGAACTAAATCGATATGGGATTAACGATTTTTCAAATGATTCCTAATTTTCTTTCAAGATCTAAACCGATCTCGTCGCTACATTTTCTTCATAAGACGGTCTATAAAACATCATGTTTTAATTTTGTTGAGTTTATCTCAGGTATCAGTATTAAAGTAGATTCTCATTGCTCAACTTTATTTATCGTAAAATGATAAATAAATCAAAATTCAATGTTCAAATCTTGCATATTGAGACCATCCTGATACCCACCTCCCGACCCAGCCGGTACTAGTCCAAGACTTGTTGACCGGGGTTGTGGTCCCGGGTATGTAATTAGCCAAATCTGCAATCAGATCTATGCGTACTTGTGACGAGTAGAAGAAAACCGAAAAGTCCATGGAAATCTTTGGTGAGGAGAAGAGACAATTGCAAAGAAATATTGAACTAAGAATGAGTTACAAGTCCGTGAAAATTCATGATGTTAGAAGACAATAAGAATGAACAGAAGTTTTAGTACGCTTAGTCTTTTATAGACTTTTAAAAGTCTACATCGAATACACCTAGACTTTTGTAGATTTTTAAAAGTTCACATTGGATACACCTAAACTTTTTAAATCCATGGACTTTTAAAATTTTGCCACTAATTCCTAATACAATCCCCACATAGCTAGTTGTTGAAAATAATCTTGATGGAGTATATGGACCAGGGACTCCCGGCCCACAGACTCCTACTACTCTAACACAGGCCCAATAGACCCAGAGAAGCACATGAGGCCCAAAAAACAGCCCGCGGTACACATATGTGTGCCTTCGGCCCATGGCCGAGGGCTCCTAAATCTCACAGGACAACTGATTTTAGGCATACAAGCACACTGGGAGAAAATGGCGGAAATCAGGAGCCTTCGGGTACGCGGAGCCCCCGACTACACGGGAGCTTTCGGCTACCCAGAGAAACATCGGAGATTCCCTTTGGAGACAGGCAACAGCCGCATTTAATGCGGCGTCACATCCACCCACCGCATTTAATGTGGTGCACATGCGTATGTCGGTGCCATCCCGATTGAGCTGACCCCTGGACCTCTAGATTGTTGACACGTGTACCCTCATCGCATTTATGGTTGCTATAAATAACAGCCCATTCCCCATTGTAAATCATCACAAGTTCACATATTCGAATACACTTTCTCTCTCTTACTTATTGCTCTGACTTCTCTCTAAGTTATTCCCGTAATAACCCCTCGGATAAGCTACCCCCGGGTACACTATCCATCATTTGGTTCTCTCGTTGAGAGGTTGAACAATCAAGTAAGAAACCCTCCCCTTCACCGAACTCAAAACATCTACCAAAATGGGAAGAACCACTCGTGTCCAGTCCAAGACCCTTGAGGACAATAACCTGACCCTCAGCGAAGTCGACGCCCCCGGAGCCTCCAACAAGGCTCCCGAGAGCGGAGTCATTGCTGGGCTGGAACAGGCTGCTTTTGACCTGCGCCTTCAGCTCCAGCAGAATGCTCCTGATGCCCGCCTTGGCATCGAAACACGAAGGAGGTATCAGAGCGAAAATCAAGTGAGCCCTCCGGTACTCACTATTGACGTACAATTGGGCATTTTCTGCCTTCATCTAGACACTTGCCCAAAATCCAGGTGCCTTCGGCACTCTGGTGCCATTTCAGCCACTGGTCGGGGAGAACGTCGTTCCTCCCCCACCTCTGTCCCCCTTCATGAACTCTAGCCGAAGGGGTCATGGCCCAAGATACCGCATCGCAGGAAGCCCAATCCCGGGACCAGTGCGATGCGAACAAGGAGAGGCCTCGGACCTCCACCCTCGAGAGGCTCGGAGGGGTGCAGGATCGCCGAGGGGTCCAAGACCGTCTCGGTGGTAAGGCATCCCAAAGACCTCAAGAAAGCGGGGGGTCTGTATCGAGGGCAGACGAGAGGCGTCCCCCTCATGTTAAAGGAAAGGCACCACTATATGCTGATGACGCCAGACACCAAATCAACCAGGCTCACTCAACCCGCGTGCAATCTCTGGGGGTGGAGCCAATGCCGAAGGACCCCAGGGATGACATCATTGAGACCCTCCAACGCTGCCTTGATGAAATGGAGGCCCGCCAAGCGCACACGACCGTTTCCGCCTCATAGGCGGACCCCAAATACGCCACCATGCTGTCCAAGATGGAGGAGATGCAAAGAAGATTTGTCGAGGGCTCCGAGGAACCCACCATCCAACTCCGGACAAGGACGCC